ATATATGCGAAATTTCTTCGCATATTCATAAATTATGCGATTGACCAGAAAATGCGTCAACAAACTATGCGAATTAGATGAGAAATATTTTCGCAGTCATAAATTTGCAAGGTTGATATATAGCCCTGCGAAAAGAAGGCACATAATCATCGTAAATTATGTTGCATTCGATTTGTATATGCGATTATTAAAAATGCGAAAGATGTTCGCAGATTTGTAAATTATGCGTTTTGATGTGGATATACGATTAAATAAACGCGAAATGTTTACGCATAGTCAGAAATTATGCGGCCGATTGGATATGTGCTGGTTCATTTTGGACATGCGAGTGCAATAGAAATTTTGACGGGAAATGTTTACGCGAAATGTTTACGCATAGCATTTCGTGAATTTTGAGGTATAAAAGAAATTATTTGATGGGGTGGTGTGAAAAAGAAAGAATAAATATATAATGGGGTGAAAAAGATTTTGACCCCATAATCAAAATATATTATAAACGGTTCTTTGCTTTTCCACTTGCTATTCGCGCAGGAGATGGAAACTTCTATCAATTGCTAGTATGAAATTGTGCAAAATTGTTTACTTTCGTTCACATCCTCTCGTTGGATATATTTTAATTGATAAAAAAAAAAAAAATGTTGAATAGAGTTAGTGGAATAGTGAATAACTAGTATAACACCCGTGTCTTACACGAGTGCTTGTTAAAAATTATTCTTAAATTTTAAAATTAATGAAAAAACTATATTAAATTTAGTTCACTTTTTTACAAAAAAATATATTACTATATATTTTAGAATAATATATATGTGTTACTTATGACTTACATGTGTTATATTATATTAATTTTTATAACTTATATCATTTAACTACTTGAAATATAAATATATCAGTTGATAAATAATTTTATTTTTATAATTAATATTAAAAATAATTTTATTATTGTTATAAAGATATATATAAATTATTTTTTTTATACATACAATATGGATGTTAAATCGAAGCTCATCAAAAGAAGATTAATTTGATATATTACATATGTAAAATTGATAAAAGATACAAAAGTTATTAACTTTTAAAATATATATACAATTCAATAGTTATAATAAGGAATGATATTAAAATAAAATTAATACATGTAACATGACCATAAATAATCAACATATTTATGGTAACCCGAACCTAATTATTTTTAGTTTGGAATTAAATTAAATTTACCCAAGCCTAATAAAGAAGCATGTAATTTTGCCACATAGGATTCCGAAGCACCAGAAGCAGTCACGTAGGCTCAGCGCGTTCTGTATTAATATATAGGGGAGGGGGATTTTTAATGTAAGATAATGTAACAAAAATAATAATGATTAATATATAAAAATATTAAGTTGTGTTAGTGTCTTGGATATTTTTAATTAATAAAAAAGAAAAAAAAATAATCTCCCAAGGCTGATTTTAGAATTCATACACGTTGTACGATCTTTTTTTCTTGACAATCTAAAACTGACAATTTGTCTGCTCGATTGAAAACCTTAATATGACAAAAAAAATCTCAATTAACGATAAATTTTAAACTTATCTTTAAAGTTGATATAGGGCTTTTAAAATTCATGGCGAGACGAACAAAATGAGATATGGTTTGTCAATTTTATAAATTTGATACCTAGTAGGAACAAGGATGTATAAAAAATTTCAATTCAAGTTTTCAGATGATTAGGATATCTGATTTTTTATTGGGAGGTATCGTTCGAAAGCTTGTCGGACCTATTTTCTTAGGAGTAAATCTTATGAAAATCCAATGTTCGGATTTTGATCAGTAGTTAGAAAACTACTGATCAACAGTTACCTTTTTTAGGCTACTAACCAAAATTCGACCGTTGGATTTTCATAAGATTTACTTTGTTAAAAAATCTCGCCCTTCAAGATTTCAGACGATGCCTTCCAATCGAAAATCGAATGTCTTGATTATCTGAACCATTTTAATCTCTCTTGCGGGCTAGTTTCTGCAATCGGCCCATTGGGTGAGAATTGTCTTAATCTCTTTTGTGGGCCAGTTTCTTCAACTCGAAGGTCAACATATATATAAATGAATGTCAAATCGAATGTCGTTAAAAGATAAATAATTTTTTATATATCATATATGAAAATATAATACAAAGAAAAAAAGTTATAAAATTTTAAAATAAGGAGAAAAAACATTTGTAAGAATTGATGTATCAATTGAATAAGAAAAGAAAATGTAATCTATATATATATAATTACTGGCAGATGCATTAAATAAAATATTTAATAAAACCTCAATCATTTTTCCGCCTAAATCAGTTACCTTTGACTTTTTTGTTTCTTTATCAAATCTCATTAATACAAAACCGTTACAATTTTGTTTCTACTTTATATTCACCTTTAATTCATTTGTTTTCAATAATAAATACATAATTAACCCAATAATCAATAAAACTTCATCAAATTGAAAATTGATTTTCAAATAATATTTCAGATATGATTTTTAATACTTTATTGATATTTTGTATTTAGTAAAGAAAACTGATTTTGATATTACTCTCTAAAATTAATAATATACCATAATAAATAATGATAAGAAAAATTGTCCCGAATAACCAATTACAAATATAAAAATTATTAGAAATTCACTCTCTACAATAAATCAAACTTCACTAATTCTTGACTTCAACCTCAACCTGTAAAAAGAGAGAAAAATGTTATAATAATAAAAAAAAAAGTATCATAAACAATAAAAATATCATCATTGTATACACAATATTAACCAGCCTCTTACTACAACGAACTGACTAATAAAAATCTGAACTGACTAATGCATCATTGAATAAAAATATCATCATTGTATACACAAATATCTTACACAAATTTATCTTAATACATTTATTACTATAAAATTTGAACTGACTAATAAATATTAATACATTTATCACAATAATCAATGGTCTTTATTCCCAAATCAAACTTATTGTATTTATCACTTCTAATAAAAATTTGACAAAATAATTTTATAGCAAAACACAATACAAACTCTAGAACAGTAAAGAAAGAGAAAAAATAATAATTTCTTTAAAAAATTACTCGATAATCAATTAATACTACAAAAAATAAATAAATAATTTTCAAAAAGACCATCACAAATAATTCCATCAGCCTCTTGCTACAATGAAAGACACTAAATCCTAAAATTTTGTAAATAAATCAGTCTTACTCCATTTTATAATATATGTTATTATCGACCCCTTTAATTTTGTATCATAAAATCTATACATATATAAATGCTAGCAACAAATTTGATAAAATTCTTTAAGTTTTCCTCCATTTTTTGTTACTTTAGAATTAATTAAATATTTATAATGTTTGTTTATTTTATTATGTAACAATCACTACTAATAAATTGTAAAGTCACATTAAATAATATGGTAATCAAAAACTTTTTATGAAACTATTTTATTATTATTATTATTATTATTATTATTATTATTATTATTATTATTATTATTATTATTATTATTATTATTTTGCTTTAACTCATTAACCAAGTCTTCTTATCAATGTTAGCTAATTATATTCTAAAATTTCATGCACAATTGCAATAATAATAATTTTAATATTTTTTATCTATTCAGTTGTCCAAAATCTTCAAAGATTGCAAAATATATATTATTGCAATTAATATAAAGATTGATATGTATGTTAATAGTTTATATTTATACCGTTTATTGTTACTACTGATAAAACTAAAATCTTATATGCTTATTATCTAACTTATGATTTTAAATATCACATATACACACACTTAACATATAAAATTTTATTTGTATCTGTGCATGTGCACAGGCTAAAATACTAGTCTATATATATATAATTGCTGGCATGTAGCATTTAATAAAACATATTTAATAAAATCTCTAAAAAATTTCCTCCATTTTCGGTTACAAATTTTGTCATTAATATTTTTTACTTCTCACATTAATACATCTTAATGAGTGTAATCATGTATGTTTCTATTATATTATATAATAGTTATTGCTAATATATAATTCACATTAAATATAAATTACATAATTATAAACAATTGTTTCAAGTTATGTATTTTAACATCAATATTATCTTTTTCTTTTGTATCTCATAAAAAAATTTCTTTAAAAACAATTAGTAAATTTTTTTAATACTAGCATAGTTAAACAACTTTAGAATTTTATAAACAATTATTTTTTAATAATATATATATATACACATATATATATATATATATATATAATTGCTAGCTTAGCATTTAGTTTTACCTATTTAATAAAACCTCTTTAATTTTCCCTATTTTGAGTTACAAAATTTATCATTAATATTTTTTTACTTCTTACATTAACACATCCTAATAAGTGTATCCATGTATTTTTCTATTATATTATATAACAGTTATTGCTAATACCAACTAATAATAATTTGCAATAAATATAAATTACATAGTTATAAACAATTGTTTCAAGTTATTTATATTAACATCAATATTATCTTTTTCTTTTGTATCTCATGAAAAATTTTCTTTAAAAACAATTAGTAAATTCTTTTAATAGCATAGTCAAACAACTTTAGAAGATTATAAACAATTATTTTTTAATAATAATAATAGTAATTATCAAACTATTATTATCTAATGATAATAAACAATTGTTCATAATAATAAAA